ACCTTAATTCTTAATAATAATAATACCTATGTCAGGTCTGGATATCTTTCTATTGATTTTTATCTTTGTTGTGTCATATTTTCCTGCATCTGTGCACATATTATTTTATTGCATGGCATGCATTGTTAATGTCACCTTGTTGGGTATATATATATTTTGTTTGTTTGCTTGTTTTTTGTTTTTAAATTGGAGTCTAACACTGTTGCCCAGGCTGGAATGCAGTGGCATGCTCATGGTCACTGCAGCCTCGACCTGCTGGGCTCAGGTGATCCTTCTGCCTCAGCCTTCCAAGTACTTAGAACTACAGGCATGCACCACCACACCCGGTTAATTTTTTGATTTATTGTAGAGATGAGGTCTCACCAAGTTGCCCAGGCTGGTCTTGAACCTGTGGGTTCAGGAAATTCTCTCACCTTGGCCTCCCAAATTGCTGGGATTATAGGCATGAACCACCACACCCGGCCCTAGAGGTATAATTTTTAACTTACCATAAATTATTCCTAAAAACAATTATTTATAAACCTATAAATATCTTTTTTCTTTCCTTCATATTTTTAATTGGCAAATAATAATTGAATATATTTATTTGCTACAAACTTTTTAGTGTATATACATTTATATAGTATGTATATATAAATATATGGTAGAAAGATTAAATATAACAATTATATGCATCGCATCTCCTATTTGTCATTTTATTGTGGTTAAGACATTTAAAATCAATACTTCAAGCATTTTTGAAATACACTGTCCTTTAATTTTAACTATGATTATCAAATTGCGATCACTAAAACTTATTCCTCCTGTCTAACTGAAACTTTATACTCTGACCAACTGCTTTCCTTTCCCTACTCCTTAGATATTCTTTACCTTTGTTCTGGTATTGCATTTAAATTGCCTCTAAGCAGTTTGATCGTTAAGGTCTTGCTTTTAAGATTGATTGGACATGGCCAGAGAACATGTAGTTTAGGACTAATTGTCCCACTACTAGGACCTGATTTTTCTATGTACTCTCCAATACTCTGTGACCAATGAGTTATTCCAGACTAGCTAGGAAGAGACACTTATTCAACCCTTGCTCAATAATAGACCTGTTTCCTCTAATAATTTGGAGTGGTTGTTTCCTTTACCTCAGGTAGTTTTCTTTCACACATGCAGCAATCAATACTCTGACGAATATTTAATGATCTTTTTTTCAGATATTCAAGGTTCTCTCTTGTACATTTCCTTCTTTTCCTGTCTCATGAACTTTAGATAACTTGATTTTGGATTTTCAACAATGATTCTTCAACTTAGGGAGTTTGTAAGCTCTGTCTGACTTTCCTATCCGTTTATCATGGCCTAGAAACTCTTTCAAAGTGAGCTGCCACAAATTTATGACTTACCTTGTTTACTTTTCTGTCTCTCAGGTATCACAGTCCTTTTTTTCTAGATATTCACTGTCTTAGAAACACTTGTTTCATATATTTTGTCTATTTATTTTGGTTGTTTCAGGTAAGAAGGTAAATCCAAACCTTCTGACTTCATTTTGGCAGAAAGTACATTCATTTTTCCTTGAGCAAGTATATGTTAAATACCTTTTAAATACAAAGCACTATCTTAGGCATTTGGGATAAAATAGGGAAAAAAGATAAAACATTAAAAGGAGAGCAAAAGTGATAACCCTGAGAAAGACACAATAAAATTGTGAAAAGAGTGAAAAACTTACAACCAACAGCTTTATAGGAAGAAATGAAAACTTTTAATGAAGTTACACTAACTCAGATAACATAGATGACACTACCCCTCTCAAAACTACATCACAATGTTATAAAACAATATATTAATAACGAGCAATTATAACAACAGTAATGATAAAGTTTCCAACCTTCAACTTCTCAAAAAAAAAAGAGAGAGAGAGAGAATTACATTTCAAAAGGATTTACCTCAAAAATGACCTAAACCAAGTATTAGGAAAAACCATGCTAAAGATTACATCACATGTTAGTGATTGACAGTAGAGGTACGACTTATTTCATGCTTGAAAGTGTGATTAACTAAAAAGACTCTTGGGTATTGAGTTTGGCATGGCCTTGGTTTTGTGTAATTATTTTTGTGGCATCTCATGTGATGCATACTGAAACTACTATCTCATGAGAATATTTTGCTAGCTTCTGTCTGGCCACCTCCCTGCTGTGATTCCTTGTTGCAACAAATCACTTTGATGCTATAAGAATCCATCAATTCCCTACAATGCCAAAGAGAGTGAGACTGTGAGAGCAGGGCTGTGCTGTTGAATTTACTTGTGAGCTCTTTGAGTGGGTGCCCTTTTATGGTGAGTAGATCACACAGTATATAAAAATAACTGGTTAACTTATTTCTACTAAAATAACAGAGGTGGGGCATTGCTTTCCAAAGATGTGTAACTGAAGTTTTCCTTGTATTCAAAATGAAAAATCATGGAAGCTCAGAGTCCTTTAGAGAGGAAAGTAAAAGAAGTTTTGGGAAAAGATGACAGAAGACGGAAACCTAACTGAGGAGACAAGAAGAGCTTTTCAGGAGCTAAAGTTTAACTGGTGGGGAGTCATAGTACTGTTTTTGACTCTGGAGAATGATGAGAGAAATTATATGTCTTAAAATGATTTTTTAGGGAAGTTGGAAGTGAGATATACTTGATTGGAGCAATTAAATATCTTTCGTTTCTCCAGGAATAGTCAGTGGAATATCATTCTGGCTAGGAGGGGCAACCTACCAAGAGATTAATGGAAATCCAAGCCAAAGTACTTGGAAACTGAGCCAGTTGACAAACGCTAGAATTAATATTCGTATAGTATGATATACCTCTCTTCTTTCACTTTCAAGTTAATAGCATCTACTCTTCAGGGCTACATGATCCCCAATGGGATATATGACCCCCAAACATTTTGTACATCAAAGTTTAAAATGGATCCTAGACTACCAGTAAATTTTATGTCTTTGATAAGCATTAGCAAGCAGCATAGGCTGCAATAGGTATCTCTAAAGTATTTATTTCCTTTTTGGGGAGACAAGGTCTCTCTCTGTTGCCCAAGCTGGAGTGGAGTGGCACAGTCATAGCTCACTGCAGCCTCAAATGCCTGAACTCAAGCAATCCTTTCACCTCAGCCTCCCAAGTAACTGGGACTACAAGTGTGTGTCACCATGGCTGACTACTTTGTTATTTTATCTATCTATCTATCTATCTATCTATCTATCTATCTATCTATCTACCTATCTATCTATCTATTTGTTGTAGAGATAGGATATTGCTATGTTGCCCAGGCTGGTCTCAAAATCCTAGCCTCAAGTGATCCTCCCAGCTTGGTGTCCAAATGTGCTTGGATTACAGACATGAACCAAGATATCTGACCTAGTTTATTTCTTTAAACAAAATTTACTATGCACCTTCTATATCCAAATAGAGCTGAACTGCCCTTACAAAGATATATAAAAGGCACAATTCCAATTTTTAAGGCATTTAAAGTCAAACTGAATTAGGCAAGCACATGCAGAAAACAGTTGAAAGATAACATTAAATCATATGTGGTCCATGTCAAATATAGGAACAGAATAGTACATTCAGTGGGAATCAAGGGCTGGGGAAATTCTTGTAATGTAAAAGATTCATGGAATTATTTTCAAGGAAGGCTGAATATGAAGGAGCTTCTAATTAGTGCATTTAATTACATTTGTTTGAGATAAAGCATGATCACATTTGAGAATATATTCAGAGCACATATGCATATTTTGATGTGCAAATGAGTAAGTTATATCTAAAGAAATGAAGCAATGAATATAACTAGATTAAAGAGTGTCTGGAAACTAATAAAATTAGTTGAACCAAAATACATTCTTATTTTAAAAATAACAGAAATATAGGAATAATAAATATGTTTAAAATGAACCAGGCAGCAATATGGACTAAGTATATGCTTGAGTTTTACGCTAGTTGTTGCAGGGTTGTTTTTTTTTTAATAGTGGTCTTGATGTTGGTAGTGGTTGTCTCAACTGTGTCAGTGATAAAAAAACAGAAAGGAGAAATGAATATAAAGAAGAGAATGAATTCTAAGATATTCTGAAAGAATGTTGAAACCAAGGAAGACAGGATTATGCATGTGTGTATATATATACACATATATATATGAACATGTAGTATCTATGTACATATGTATGTTTAAAAGAAGAACATAGTGCATTATAATAATTAAGAATTTTGACTTATAAGAAATGTATTTTTTTGTTTGTTTTTTTAGTTGGAGTCTCACTCTGTCACCCAGACTGGAGTGCAGTGGCCACTCCTGGCCACCGCAGCCACGACCTGCTGGGCTCCGGTGATCCTTCCGCCTCAAACTTCCAAGTAGCTGGAACTACAGGCACACGCTACCACGCCCAGCTAATTTTTTATTTATTGTAGAGATGAGGTCTCTCCAAGTTGCCCAGGCGGGTCTCGAACCTGAGGGCTCAGGCAATCCACTCACCTCAGCCTCCCAAAGCGTGGGATTACAGGCTGAGCCACTGAGCCCGACTGTCCTGCCTGTTAAACACTATATGCATTACTTTTGAATCTCCCTTCTCTAAATATATATGTCTTGTAAAAAGGTGACTGAAAATGAAAGTAGATGAGAACATAAATAAAGTAACCAAGAAAAAGGCTCAGTTCTGAAAATAAAATGTTTTAAACATTTGGATACAAAATAAAATTATGACCTTAAAGTTCATTTTTGACTTGTTTCATAATTGGGTATGCTAGGCCAAAGTAATTCTATTAGCTCTTAGGTTTTAAGAGGAGTTATTCATAGCACTAACTCCAGAAAGTTATTCAGTAGGTTTGAAATCCTAATAAGGATGAGTTTCTTCACAAAAATTACCTAGGATAAATACTGTCCTATATGAGTTAGATGTATTTGCTGTTTCTGTCTTAAATTTTATGTTTTATTTTATTTTTTTTCTCCCAGTAGGAACATTTGGAAGCTGATCTGGGCTGGATTTCAAGAAATTTTCTCATGGGACTTAAAAACAGTAGCTGGTTTCAGCCACCTAGTCTCCTTCTAACGGGCATCTCTGGACTGGAGGCTGTACAAATATGGATCTCTATCCCGCTGTGTGTCATGTACCTCACTGCCCTCCTAGGAAACTGCACCATCCTCTTTGTCATCAAGTCCACCTCCAGCCTCCATGAGCCTCAGTACATCTTCCTGTCTATGCTGGCAGCTACGGATTTGGGTCTGTCTTTGTCAACTCTACCTACAGTACTCAATGTCTTTCTCCTGAATCACAGGGAGATCAGGTTCCACTCCTGCCTGACTCAGATGTTCTTCATCCATACCTTCTCCTGCCTGGAGTCAGCCATCCTGCTGGCCATGGCCTTTGACCGGTTTGTAGCTATTCGCAACCCGCTACACTACACGGTGGTTTTAACTCCGCCTAGGATTATCCAGACGGGGCTTACTGCTGTGGTTAGGGGTGTGGCATTGATGGTGCCCTTGCCAATCCTGCTGAAGCGACTGCCCTTCTGCAAAGATGTTATTTTGTCCCATTGTTATTGCTACCACCCTGATGTGATGAAGCTGGCCTGTGGTCCTGTTAGAGTCAACATGATCTATGGGTTGTCCCTTGTCATCTGCTCCTTTGGAATTGACTTTATGTTCATCGTTGTTTCATACATCCTGATTCTGAAAACAGTTTTGGGTATTGCTTCAAAGGGTGGTCAGCTCAAGGCACTTAATACTTGTGTTTCCCACATCTTTACTCTCTTCATCTTTTATGTGCCTCTCATTGTGCTGGCTCTCATTCATAGGTTTGGTACATTTACATCTCCTCTTCTTCATGTCACCATGGCCAATCTCTTTCTTTTCTTGACTCCTGTCCTTAACCCTTTGGTTTATAGCTTAAAAAACAGACAAATAAGGTCAGCAGTACATATTTTATTCAAGGGTAGGAGGAATTTGCTCAAATAGTCAAGTATGGCTTAGTGAAGAAAGATACTGTGGCCATCTCTTTCTTTTTCATCTATGTTTCTCTCTCGGGAATATGTTGTCGCTTCAAGGTATGATTTTGTGATAATTTAGATTTTCTTCTTCTTGTCTTCCAAGAAGATGATAGTATTTTTGGTTATTGTCTAAGTAGAAAATCTCTAAATGTGTTGCTTTAACACATTGTGAAATGAGACTATTCATGGAGATCAGTGTTCAATATATAATTTTTAATTTTGTTTTTCTTTTTAAAGAAACATAAATATATAAATTTAAAGACTCTAGAAACAAGTCAGGCAGATTCATCTTCTGTAAAACAACAACAACCAAGATTGGTCAACTCACAGGAAAATAAATACCATATACTTACAATTTCGAATTATCCTTCCTAAAATATTATCCGCTGATAAAGAGGAAACATCAAAAAAATTTTAAAAACCCTCTATGCTTTATTCAGTGTTCATTGGACATTGTAAATTAAATGTTTATTATTATATAAAACTTGATCTTTTCATTGAAAGTTGATCTATCATTCAATGCATGAATAATTAAACAAGCTGTGGCGTGTTTGTGTGTGCATGTGTGTATGAGTGTGTATTATTCTGCCATGAAATTAAGTGAATTACTGATAATGCTACAACATACATAATATTAAAGAACATTTTGGTAGGTAAAACAATCAACACAAAAGGCCACATGTTACATGATTAAGTGTATAAAAATATTCATAATAGAAAAATGCATAGAGACAGAAGTTGATTGATAGTTTCCAGAGTCTTTGAGGGAGTGGTATGGTAATTGGTTAATATGTATTAGGTTTTATTTTAGAGTGATGAACATATTTTGTAACTAGATAGAGGTGATGGTTTGTAAAAATTGTATGTGTACTAAGTTCCACTAAATTATTCAGTTCAAAGTAATCATTTTTACATAATATGAATTTTGTTTTAATTTAAAAAGGTCATCAAATGTTTATGATTTAATAAGACTAAAGAAGCAGGACAATTAAATGGAATGTCTGGTTCTAAAATGAATCCTGACTATGGAAAACAGCTCTTTAAGAATATGATTAATCCACTGACAAAACGGGAAAACAGATGGGAGATTATTTTGTGGTTATCTAAGAAAATACATTTATTCTTAAGAAAAAAACATTGAAGTATTGAGGAGTAAATACCAAAATGTATGTAACCTACACTCACATAGCTAAGGAAGAAAAATAACTTGTATGTTAAAAGAAGGTTGGGCAGAGAGAAACAGAGAACTCATGAAAAAGTTCATTCTAGTTCATGAATATAAGTAAGTGCAGCAAAATTTTAACAATAGGTGAGACATGGTAAAGGTTATATGAGTACTCTCTGGATTATGTTTTTACTGTAACTTTCCTGTAAGTTTTAGATTAATCTCAAAGAAATCATAAAATATGGCAACCCCTTCAGGTCCCCTCCCACTGTGGGAGCTTCTCTGTCTTCTCAATAAATACTGCTTAAAAAAAAAGGAAATCATAAAATATCCACATATCCCTTATCTAACTTAATACATATAGCATCATAAATATCATTGAAACACCCTATATGTAAGTAATCTTCCTAGAAATAGTCATTATCCTAAATTTGATGCTTAGATTTCCCAAATATATTTTTATATTTTTGACTCCATATTTTAGATATACACCTAATCAATATATCTGCATAAATAACTCTCCAAATATAATATTAAATAAAGATAGAAAAGCACACAATGATTATATAGTACAAAAATACGTATGCAATATTTAAGACCATGCAAAACACTAGCTATTACATCTCTCCCAAGACACGATATCTATATTTCTTTGTCACAGCTTACTCAGGTCTTCTACATTTGACGACTGGGGAATATACTTTGGGAGGGAGAAATAATTTCGCAGATTGAAATGGGAGTGCTTCTTGCCTATTCAGGCAGATGGGCTGAAAATAGTCTCAGAGAAGACACAATAACTTGCTGTGGAATGAAGAGGGAAAAAATGGACATTTGAAAAAGAAAGGACTATGCATTTGTGTAAAAAAAAATATGGAGAAGATAATCCTGACTAAGCCAGCAGTCTTGGAAAGGGAGTGCCTTGGTATTTATTTCTTTTCTCCATTGATTATGGTGTAAACTCACAATAGTGGTACTTTTTTCCCCCACTTGTTTATAAATATATTCCTGGTGTCTGTATAAGCGCCTGGCACATAAGATATGGGAATGAATATATATTGGCAGATTTTAACAAGTTACATTGTGTCTGTCAAACTACTAGTCTTTTTCCTTTATTTTTTTCTATCTTCTTTATTTCTGTAATTTTTTTTTTTTTTTTGAGTTGGAGTCTCACTCTGTCGCCCAGACTGGAGTGCAGTGGCCGCTCCCGGCCACCGCAACCTCGACCTGCTGGGCTCCGGCGATCCTTCTGCCTCAGCCTTCCGAGTAGCCGGAACTACAGGCGTGCACTACCACACCCGGTTGATTTTTTGATTTATTGTAGAGATGAGGTCACGCTGCCCAGGCGGGTCTCGAACCCGTGGGCTCAGGTAATCCACTCACCTCAGCCTCCCAAAGGCGCGGGATTATAGGCTGAGCCACCGAGCCCTGCTTATTTCTGTAATTTTTTAGAAGCTAAATAATGTTTCACATTTCCTGGATCTCGAACTATAAAAATAATTGAGAAACTTTGGGAAACCAAAGCAAGAGGAATGTCTGAGCTCAAAGGTTTGAGATCAGCCTGGGCAGCTTGACAAGACCTCATCTCTACAATAAATCAGAAAAATTAACTAGGCATGGTGGTGCATGACTGTGGTTCCAGTTACTTGGAAGGCTGAGGTGGAAGGATCATGTGAGCCCAGCAGGTCGAGGCTGTGGTGGCCATGAACAGCGTGCCACTGTGCTGCAGCATGGATGACAGTGAGACTCCAACTCAATAATAATAATAATAATTCCACAAATTACTTTTGAGTCAAGTGGAGTTTATTTGGGGAGGCAAAAAATAAATGGTTGATATATAGTGTATAGCGTGATGGAGAAAAAAATCAGAATTTTATGGACTATATAAAACTAAACCAGGCACTAAGAGTCCAGAAAGGTTTACTGGAATTAAGGATTAGGGTTAGGTTTAGGGATAGGGGTTAGTGGTTAGGGTTAGGGTTAGGGTTAGAGTTAGGGTTAGGGTTAGGGTTAAGGTTAGGTTTAGGGATAGGGGCTAGGGGTTAGGGTTAGGGTTAGGGTTAGGGTTAAAAGCACAACAAACACTATTCAGTTGGGAGAAAGTTGCTTGGACATAGGTAACATTAGAAGCATAAGCTACGACATAAAAGTGAAACAGAGCTCTTTGCTAAAATATAGCACTACTATAAATGACACTTTAAAGCAGCAGTTCTTAACCTTTTTGACATAAGAAGCCAGTTTTTTGGAGGGTAATTTTTCCACAGACCTAGGGGGGCATAGTTTCAAGATTATTCAAGTGCATCACATTGTGTACTTTATTCATACTATTACATAATAAAGAAATAATTGTAATTATACAACTCACCATAATGTAGAATAAGTGGGAGCCCTGAGTCTGTTTTCCTGCAACTACATGGTCCCATCTTGGGATGATTAAAACCAGTGGCATCCAATGTGTGTTGTTTATGTTCAGTCTACTCTGTAATGTTGTTCTGCTGTTGTCAGTGCTGAAAACCCTGTTTCACAAACAGAAAATGTTGTGAATAAAAGCAGGCTTTTCAGTGTTTTTGTGGCAATTGCAGGATATTCTGCCTTAACTTTAATCCAGAATGTATGGAGATTTGAAGTTATCTCATACATACCTTTAAGGCCACCATCATTTGCAATCTCAAAAAGTTGCCCCTTTTCTATTGTGGATAAAGTTGATTCACCTGGTTTCTTCAGAAATGGGTCATGGATCCATTTCTTCTCAGCTTGGGGGACTTTTGTGGTTGGGAAGTAATGCTCAAACTCTTTTGAAAGCTGAGACAGGTGATTATGCACCAGCTGGGAGAAAGAAAGTCCTGGCTCAGTCTCTTTCAAAATCTCTGCTAATGTTTGAAACATGTCAAAAATCCCAATGTTCACACATAGCCCCCATAATTCCATTTTGACTTTAAATGTATGCACTGTATCTGCTGACTTTGAATGTATGACTGTATCTGAGTTTATGTTGACAGCTCAACTCATGAGTTGAGTTCAATGAGCTGGTGGAACTCATGTCAGTAAACAAGTTTTGGAACCCATTCTGTGTCACTGAAATGTGCTGCCAGGGTTGTCTGTTTTTCTAAAAGAATTCTTTGGGGTTGTTCTCATAACTCAAAAACTCTGACCAGTGATCTACCTTTAGAAAGCCATTTCATTTCTGTGTATAAGAGAAGACATTTATGCTCTGTGTCCATCTCCTCACAAAGCTGTGCAAACAGATGTGAATTAAGAGCATGTACTTTATTGTATTTATTTATTTATTTATTTTTGAGTCAGAGTCTCACTCTGTCACCTAGGCAGGAGTGCAGCGGCACACTCATGGTCACCGCAGCCTCAACCTCCTGGGCTCAGGCAATCTTTCCACCTCAGTCTTCCAAGTAGCTGGAACTACAGGCACGAGCCTCCATGCCCGGCTAACTTTTTAAAAAATTTACTGTAGAGTTGAGATCTCACCAAGTTCGTCAGGCTGGTCTTGAACCCCTGGACTCAGGCAATCCTCTCACCTCGGCTTCCCAAAGTGCTGGGATTACAGGCTTGAGCCACTGTGCCTGGCCAATGCCATGTACTTTAATATGGTTGATAATTTTAATCACATCCTGTAAAACAATGGTATTTTTTTCAGCTGGCCAGTATTTCCCTATGTGTGACAAAGCAAGTAGACTCACATTCAGAAGCAGCCTCTTTGACTCGAGTAGTAAAACCAGAAAGCAGTCCAATCATGGCAACTGCTCTGTTAGTGCATACACCCACACAAAATGACCAATTCAGTTTTTCTGATG